GTAGAACAATTAGAGCATGCAATTGAAATATGTCGAAAAAATCCAAAGTATCGTGCCACCAAAATCCACTAAAAAAGAATGAAATAACGATTTTTCTTATAACGACAGTGAAAGAACAGATTAACGACTACTAGTTTACTCTTGCAGGTAAAATACAATATTTTCTTAAGGTATTCAATTCACTTCGTTTATGAATTAGTGCACAATAAAAAAGAGAACGGAATACAGCTCGATATCATATCTACTAGATCTAAACGAAATCAATCTCTTTTTTTTGTTGGAATTCTGGGAATATAAGCAAAAGAAACAGTTACACGAAAAAAACCAGCAAACAAACTACAGACATTCCGTCAAGGGGCAAAAGGCAGCTTCGGGAGCTTCCGAGAGCCCCTAAAATGCTTTCCAAAGCTTGAGATGCAAAGCATCCGATACTGAGCGATGCTAAGAAAGAAAAAAGTCGCCTTACCCTCCTTGCATTTAGTGCACAAACACAATACGTACATAATTTATTTTTAAACCATAAATAAGCAAGAAATATCTGATCATTAATGAAAAAATTTATAAAAAAAGACTTTGGGATAAACAAAATTCATTAAGAGCAATTCAGACTTAACAGAAAAGAGTTCTTTTATTGTATTGATATTACGATCTTCTAAATTTCAAAATAAACAACAAAAAAGAAAGGAAAATGTCCTTCTAAATTTATGATCTATCTTTCTTTTTCATTAGAGAAATTTAAAGACCCTATGCGTGAATGTAAACAGAAGTATCCTGATTAGATATAAATGTATATCTTCACGGTGCTAGAAATTATAGATGCTCGAATTTTTGGAATGAAAAAATTAAAATTATAAAATTTAAATAGATGAACAATTATCTGTGAATATCACAAAGTTTTCTAGTATTATATCTCATTTTCATTATTCATAAACATTACAAAATATGATTTTAAGAATCTTTTTAAATTTTATGTCTGTAGAAAACAATGACTAAAGCAAAGATTATTTGCATAACTTCTCCATAAATATAGCAAAAAATATTATGAAAGCACTCTGGTTCTAATTATTGAAATTAAAATTTAATTCATGGTATAATATGACTGAGTGAAGTTGATTTTTGGTGTTTTAATTGTCTCTTAGGTCGTTGATGATACGAAGTATCGATTACAAACGGACGTGTATTTCTAAAATTAGTATCCGTTTTTGATCGTTTTTGTTTAAAATTAATATTTATCTTCCCTATGTCAACAGATGTATCACTATATCTGCTTGACAATACATTACTATCCACTGTTGTACTATTTTCAAGAGTACTTATATGAACTCTTTGAAATATACATTGACGATAGAGATCAGCTTGTTTACAAAAATTTAACATCACAATATCACAAATAAATGTAGCTAAACCAAATACGCCAATTAAACTGCCAATATTGAGTGTTAACGTAATAAAATCAAACTTTGATGCATGTCCACTAACAGATATAATTAGACGTAAACCGAATGCTTTTGTTAATGTACGATAGTATCGTTTTGAACGTTTCCAATGTGAAGCGAATCGGAAATTAAAGCCAAAGGAAAATGCTTCTTCTTTAAGTCGTGCATCTAAACGACCAAATGAATATTTTGGTTTACAACTAGAAAGAATAAAAAAAAATAAAAAAAAACAACAACATTTATTATTCAAAGAGTTAGTTTTATCATTGTATCAGACCGTTTTGCTTCATAATCAAAATTACAATTCCATTCTAATTTAATTCGAATAACAGCACCAGTTTTTAACATTTGTTCTCGTTCATCCAAATCTGTTTCAACTGTGTCGATAATATCTTTCAAACGAAATATTGGACATTCTTTATTTTTATCAGGATCATAAACTAAAACGCAATTTTAAATATACAACAAGAATTCATAGTGAAACTTTAAATCTAACTACATACCACATGTTTTCATATTATCAACAATATTTTTTCTAATAACATTAAACATTGGAAATTCAATAAAATTTTTAACAAATACTGTAAAATTTAATGCGTCACTAACCAGATTCGGTACGGCTCCGTCATCTTCCACTGGACACCAACCTATAGTAGGAATAAAAAATGCTTCTACAATCCATTTTTTTTAT